GTAACGAGGAACCTCGCTGTAAGTGGGGGTTCAATTTGACTCCCAGCACACTGCTTACTTCAAACATGCAAGTCTTTTTAAGCAATAGGATCAAACAAGTGACACTACAGTTCCTGACAAACTGCAACAAAACAACACAGAAGGGTGGGATGAGGTTGTGCGGCCGGTAAGGCTGACAACCTTACCGCCATCTTTGAGCCGACTGTCAAGGTAATGTGGGACCCTTAACGTCTCACAACCCTACGGGCCTTCACGGCCTGTTATAGGGATAGCTTTACTTTTTTTTTTTCATCCTGGTGAAGTTAATTTCATGATCTCGGTATGCGACTGGGTGATGATCATAACAAAGCCTATGTATTATAAGGTAACTTAATGGGCTCACTGGTCACAGTAGCCGAGCGGTCTAAGGTGTGCACTGTCTTTGCTCACTTGGAAGCTAGGATTGTGGGTTCGAATCCCACTAAGGGCATGGATGTTCAGTGTTTGTGTGTGTGCGTTTTTCTGTGTTCATGTACAGGTAGAGGCCTTGCAACAAGGTGATTACTTGCCCAAGGAGTCCTACCGAATGTCTAATATCTAGTAAACCGAAGTGAAACTGAGTGTCGTGGAGGTAGGGCAAGGCCCAAACTGGGGCTGTAGTGTCAAGGGGGGGGGGGGAACTTAATGGGCCCATTTGATTTGGTTAGAAAGATAAAGGATGTAGTCTTTATAGTATGCATCCTGTTGTGTGTCATATATGAAATTATATATATAATTATACATATGATTCCTGTCACCCTAATGAACACAAAAAATCAACAATAACTATTTAATCCCCTTACTCGAGAAAATAAAGATCATGAATTAACAGTCATAAATGAGATACTAAAAAATAACAGACATCAACAATCGCCCACAAATCATAAATACATAAATAAAGCCCCTGTGAATCTTAGGCAAACAGCACAAAATATACAAAAAGATAAAACAAAATGGGCCACCTTCACGTATCTTGGTCCAGGCTCTAGAAATATTACTAACTTATGTTGGAATACTAACCTCAAAATTGCTTACAAGCTGACCAATACAATTAAACACCACTTGAAACCCAAAGGAATACCAGGAGACATATACAACCAGAGTGGCATATATCAACTACAATAGAGTGAATGCCTACTGAAATAAATCAGACAAAAGAGGACGCACATTCAAAGTCTATTATAGACAACACATACATGCTATCAAGACCAATAAACAAAACTCTATATTCGCACAACACATTCTGAAAAACTGAATATACGTAAGATATGATAGACGAGACCATGAAAATATTGCATATAGAAAAGAAAGGACCCAAACTCAACACATTAGAAAGATTTCATTGTATATGATATAACAAAGAATGCTCTATAAATGAACGATATATTTACCGACATACATAACCTCATATCCGATATTCTAATATTTACACACATGTACATAACCCCACTCCTCCCCCATCTCCCCAACCACTCAAAGTATTACCACTCACCTACTACCACTATATCTTACACAACACCTATTTAGAAACAAGCAGTTCAGACAGAACTGCTATGACATAACACCACCATCATCATGGGGAACTGCCTCCACACATAACATCAAAATTTAGAATATGTAAGTACACACCCTATATACGGGTAACCTAAGAATTTGTCTAATAACAACTTACATGCAAGCTTTAAATTATAATCTAAAATTGTTACAGATCATTCCAAGTACAAACAACCTGTTGAGTGATACAACAGAATAATGAGCATAAGCTTCACGCGATAATAGGTAACCATGAAATACCATAAAAAAGACATCCTACATAACACTGATCATAATACAGCTAATAACTGCCATAACTTATTTTTCAGGAAGGTCAATACCAACACGACCTAGTTTATGAAAGATCTCAGCATACTGGCACCTCACACTATGATTACTCCTACCACCTGGAACAATATATAAATATGTAGCGGTCGCAATGTTTTAAGGAGGTTTATAATACTACATAACATAATATAATATACATTATAAATATCTTAATTTCTGTACAATTTTAACTTCTATCGTTTAAACTTACTTACTCTTACTTACTCATGGAACTGAGTCCTTCTTGAGGAGCGGTCAATTCTGCGGCTACTAAAGAATTCCCAATAAAATACTGAACCCGAAGGTTCATTACTGTGTTCACAAGCACCCTCCACTGGTCCCTATCCTGAGCCAGGCCAATCCAATCCATACCATCTCATCCTATCTCTCTAAGATACATTTTAATATTATCCAGCCCCCTACACCTTGGTCCTCCCAGTGGTCTCTTTCCTTCTGGCTTTCCCACCAGTATCCTACACAGTGTGTCCAGGTTGTTAGGACCATGCTCATTAAAAATACATGATGTGAATTATTTTCAAAATTTCACTCTTTTTATTCAAAACAGTCTTCTTCTGAATCAATACATAGCTGGAATTGATTGAAAAGTTTTCAAAAACAGTCACTGAACTCCTTTTGTGGAATCGCATTTAAAACTCCGGTACATCCTCTTTGGATGTCCTGGATGATGATGTGATGGTCTCCCTTCATCGCCAACTTAACTTTTGGGAACAACCAGAAATGTCCTGGAGTCAAATCTGGTGAATACGTAGGAAGATCAAGGACTGTGATCCATTTTCTGGCCCAAAAATTGTGCACAATCTTTGATTTATGGGGTGGGACATTGTTGTGGAGGAGCGACCAGGAACCTTGCTCTCGAAATCCAGGTCGAATTTGAAGAATTCTCGCCCACAAACCATTGAGGACTCCAAGATAATCAGAATTCACTGTTTGACCTTCTGGCAGAAATTCCTTGTGAATGATTCCTTTGGAATCAAAGAAAACGGTTAGCAGTGTCCTTACTCAACTCTTTTGCATGCGCACTTTCTTTGGTTTTGGCTTCTTTGGGCTCAACCACGCTGCACTCTGCCACTTTGTGAGAGGCTCATATTGAATACACCATATCTCGTCACCAGTAACAATCGATTTTGTAAATTCTGTATCACTTTGGGCCGACCGTAACATGTCTTTGCAATGTTCCACTCTGGCATGCTATTCATTGCCTGACAGAGAGCGCACATACCTTCCGTTTGCCAAAATCCTCAGTCAAAATTTGATGCACAGTACTTTTTGGTATTCCCAAAAGCTCCTTGATGAGTCTTGCAGAAACACATCTGTCTGATGCAAGGATTTCGGTCACTTTCTTCTCATTTTCTTCAGTACAACTTGTTCTCGGCTTTGATGCACGTGGAGCGTCTTCAATGTCCTCCCTGACATCACAAAATACAGCATACCCTCAAAAATGTTCGAGCGACTCAAACAATCACTACTGTACACACTTTTCATCATTTTGTACGCTTCTCCAGCTGTTTTGCCTAACTTCAAACAAAATTTGATGTTGGCTCTTTGTACAACCGCCATTTTCCAACGAGCATCAGAACAGGACTGTTACATTCAAGGTGAGAACACATGATGCAGCGCTGCTTGTGCTTTAAAATTATAGTCATAGCTGAAACTTCAAGAATCTTAATGCCACAACTCACCAACAGATGACATTGTAGGGCAAAATTTAGAAAAATGAGTCCTAACGGATCCTGGACACACCATGTACATGCATTCCTCTTCTTACCCATTCGTGCTACATGCCCTGCCCACCTCATCCTCCTTGACTAGATCATTCTAATTATATTTGGAGAAGAGTACAAGTTATGAAGCTCCTCAGTATGCAGTTTTCTTAAACCTCCTGTCACTTCATTTCTCATTGTTTAAACATCAAATTTTAACTGTAAATTCAAATTAAGTACATAAAACTCATAAGAACACAATGTGGATCCATACTGAATTATGATGCAATTCAAGAACTAATTACTAGTATTCTTATACGCCTGATGATGACCCAATATAAGGGTCGAAACATGTAGTGTCAACGGCTAACAAACAAATGTTGATACAGCAGTGTCTATTTTGTTTTTATGAAATACTGTTGTGCAGACTGGCCCCATGTTCATATACTGCCACTACCGTAACATGCAATATTACAGTGAAGTCTAATACCTGATTCAAACCAACTCTTATGAATGTAATGTCATAACCCTGTATGTATTAAATCCAAGTATTTAGAACAACTCGTAATAATGCAATGCATGTAAGTAGAAGTTTATGTAATTTTAAGACTTTTGTGTGTTAATGTCTATTACTCAAATTCGTTACAAGCCTGACATATTTATTTTTACATGCATGCACGCGAAGTCAATTATGTGGGCAGTGTGGGTGGGACTTCCGGGCATTTGGCAAACAGCAGGCAGGACCTCTTGTTATAATTAGCAGCTGGTTGCAAGCTTTCCAGTAAAACAGGTTATGTAAATTTAAGAAAAATATTTAACTTTATGATTCCGATAATGTTAACAAACATCACAAATGATGAATTATTCTTCATTATTTCCATAACTCCATGATACCCACTTCAAAGAAGAAACACTGCTGTATCTGCATTCTTTTTTGAACCTTAGTGTCATTTTGCATTACACATAATTACAGGTTGGGGGACAGACTTATAGTACATACTTCAACCATTCTCAGATGTTACAAGTATCCATTTGACAGAGCATTTTTATAAATTTCATTAATTCTTATAACGTCAAGGTTGCATTGCAAATATCATATGTCTTAGACAACAAAACTTCAACGGGCAGATAAGAAATTCAATTTTGGTTTTATTTAGAATGCAGTCCCTAGGGTTGTGACACTGTGTATTCTCATGGGCAGTTACCAATGTTCTGGAGAAAACTGGTGCTCCATCTTCTAGTTCCATTCTACAGCATTCTCTCTCCAAGGTATCCTTTAGTGTACCTTGCACCACAAAGTCAAGTAATTGTAACCTTACCTGCATTTACCACACGTTACTTGGTGTCCAACTGCTTAAGGCATGCCATTACCTCTCAACTCATATGCAGTTAATAAAATACCTTCTTGTTAAAGTAGAGGAACCCTTGTGGGCAGTTGATGTTGTGAAATGGAGCAAAGCAAGTTACTGCACCATCTATACCCATGGGGTGGGTCCGAAGCTCTCCTCGTGATGTCAGAAACAACCAGTGGGGATATGGTCCACAGATGAATACCTGTTACAATCATCAGTAGTTCAAGTTTTGATTATATTGTACTATCACACTATAATATATAATAACTATAATACTTTTAATTTATGAAAACAAAGCAATCATTCAATTAAATAACTTATTACCCAACCAACAACACAAACTTCTGANAGTGATTGAGGCTAGCTCTTTCTAAGGGACCCAACTGAATAGGTGTTTTCCTTCACCTGAGGACGGAAACAGATCCAGTTTCCGAAACGTCGTGTTTTTATTTGTTATCTTAAAAACCAGGACGATGGATAAAGTCCAAAATCCCAACATATCAGTGTGTTATACACCATCGTCAGAATCCTATAGTAACTACTGTACTTCACACTCAAAATATCTTGGGCTGCTGCCTATGCCCCAGGTTTCTAAATAGGTTGCAGCTGCAATGTGCTCCAACTGTACGCTATTCTCCATAGTTCTGCTGAAATTTCATTTTATTATGTACTTCCAGTAATGACACAACTAGGGCAAACTTCAGAGGAAAATCTGCATTCTTCCATTTCTTAAGAACATTAACAAGGAAAAGAAAGTTCACTGGAATATAATTTGTTGTATTGATATACTACCTGTAATGGATGACATATGCATTTGGAGCTTACTTCTTTCAATATTATCCTTCTTTAAATTATGGAAACATTAATCAAATTACAATTTAGCATACTCAACCAACTCACATTACCATGAAAAGCCTGCCTACCATGTTCATACTGGCACATGTTTGGCTACATGCTAAAAAAGAAGTATTAAACTGTAAGCCTTAGCATTATCTTAAATTTCAGCGTTTGTACTATACCCCATTGTAGCCAGCAATGTTGCTGAAGTACCGCAGTTGACACACATGTGATTCCAACTGCTGTTCTGTGTCTATTGGCTTCTTCCTTGATCTGCAATGTAAGGTTAAGTCATTCTGGACATTCTGTATCTTTCTTCATAAATGCTAGAAGACTGAAAAGCAAGTTTTGTGCTGAAAAATCTTGTTTGTGATCGGTTGGTGTAGATTAACATGATGGAACTGTACAGAAGTGGGAAAAATATAGCCTACAGCAAAGTTCAGAGATTACCATATTTACCTACATAATTCATGCACTCCAACTTTTACACACAATATTTCCTAGAAATTTAACACTATATTCTTATTCCAAAATTTTGACCACAAACTGTTCATTACACAGATATGAATATAAATAATTGGTCATGTATCTTTTGCCTCTGTGTGCTACCTGTCCTCCTGATCAATATTATCATGTGTCTGAGTGGACTGGTGACTGATTTTTTGGACACTATACACACAACTTGTAACTGCAAACATTATTGTAATTGCAGCACACATAAAGCTTTCTGTTTTCACTGGTAATGTATCTCAACAATGTCCTCTTCTTACATCCTTACTGGCTGGCAAATATCCCATAACTGACCAAGCTCTAAATTTGTCCCATTTACAACCCCTTGGCACAGACCATGTAGAAAACACTGCTCCTCATTGTTGCAGGTCAATCAGTCAATCGTGAAGGCATTACTCAATAACAGCTCTTGTACATTTGCATATCTCGTGGTCATTGCCCAGCAACAGGTCTACATGTTACAATATGTTATCAGTTCAAACAGACATGTGTCAGAGCTTCTGAAGTAATGTTCACAAATACTTATGCTTCCTCAACTCATGAAATATGGGCAAGGACATCTGCCAGTTACCACAAGAAGAAGGGAATGAGGCAGAAAATAACAGGAACACGCTACAGAAGAATGTGCCATCAGTGTCATACAAGTTCTTCTGGCTACTGGTGTGTGTGCAGCAGTTATTATAAGGATAAGGAAATGCCACACTATAGTCAAAATACATACTGTATTCTCAGACACCTTCCAGATCTCACATTTGATTGGCAGCAACTGGTTCAGACAGAGGACAACAACTTCCTACAATTTACTCCAACCCTAAACAAGAGTTTTACTGAATGCAATGAATTGGCCAAATATACAGTTTGAAATAAAATAATCAAATGGAAAAGTACAACCTGCAGTGTCGGAACATTTCAAACCACTGCAACACATCCATTAATAAAGATGCAGGAAGTTATAATCTTGTAAATGAACTGATAAGGCTAAAAGAAAACAGCCGTTTATTAACCTGGTTATGTAACCATAATTCACATTATATTGAAGCATCCTGTTACACTGTGTAAATCTGACTCTGAGTTCCACTTTTTGCCATCTATGTGCAATGTTGGTTAATATTCACTTGTCCCCTTATCTTTATTGCATATCACTACATGTTTCGGTCCAGCCCACCACGACCAGGTGCAGAGGTTGCTGTGATGAAGGAATCTGGTGCCACTGTGATGCTGTTCTGCCTTTCTTATGTAATTGTCTCAGACTAATTCTAGGTTGTGTGTGTTAACAAGCTGCTGCCATGTGTTTGCCCTGTGGCAACATCTCGTTAACACACATAACCTAGAATTAGTCTGAGACAACTACATACAAAAAGCAGAACAGTATTACATTCAGCAGCAGATTCCTTCGTCACAACAACCTGTACACCTGATGATGGCTGGCTAAGTAAAAACATGTAGTGACAGACAATAAACAGAAGATGAGTGAATATTAACACTACATAAAACTTTGTCTTAAGCATGGAAAAAAAAAAAAAAGAATTCTGGTTAGTTCTAAGAAATTCTTTCTGAACTCTAAATGCAGTTGTAGAGTATGCTCTGTGTTTGTGTGTTGCCTCTGTGTAGCCCATGGGATTTTTATGCATGTGGACAAGCAATGCTTGTAACACGTCACTGACAAGATGTTCCACCTTTCCATACCTCTGACCAGCAACCACTACCCCTCCCTTAGTCTTCTGCTTGCACAGCTCATGCAGACCAAGATTAGACCAAATATTGTCACGTGTTGGGTATATGTCATGCGACAAATAACTTCATGCCATCTTTGATATAGTGAATTTATTCCATTCTCTCTTACAACTACATAATTCACAATTTCACAACTACTGCCATCTGCAGGATTACAAATACTTCTCCTGCTGTAGTTACTACCATGCACTCGATACAACCCAACTCGGCGAATACTAGACTGCAACTTACTGGTTATTCTCTCTCTAGTAACTGGCTCAATACCTACTACTCACTACTCTAGTAGCTTGTGCACTGACAACACAAAAACAGTTACGCGATAGCTACCACTGTTGCCTAACGTCGTGTTTACAGGCGTTGCTGGGGAACACTGCCGAGAGTGTGTAGTAACCACGGTGTCCCCTGTTATGTCACTGTGGGAAGTGCTGTTACGTCACCGCGGGAGGTGACGGAGTGTTTACCGAGTGTTGCTTAATAATGGAAGGGGTGAGGGTACGTGACATCACTCGTGTGACTGCAGATTTCACATGACCCCTACTTCCCGCTGCGCCATCCACGTCACAATATTATCAATATTCATAGAACAGACAGAACACTCCCAAACAAAACACTGATCACTCATTTGTGACCTACTACAAAACTTCTGTCCAAGAAATGTATTCATGTCAAACAATCAGTTGCTATGACATGCCAAAACTGCATAATGATGATAAACCTCATGCTCACAAAACTTTTTACCCATATAGGATCTTTGTCTTGGGCAAAGTTAAGGAAAAATTATCCTTGTACTTCATTATATATAATTCAGCACTATGTCATGGAGGCATGGTTTGATCATTTTTAACCTTGGCACTAGATGGAGGTGAGTAGTCAGCTTCACACCCCAGCCCCTTTATTACTGGGGATAAGCCCTCCAATACCCATTGGATAGGAGGCTGGGTGGATCCTAGAGCCAACCTGGATATCATGGTGAAAAGAAAAATCTCTTGTCTTAGGTATATTGATGAAAGTGGCCTCCGTAGTCTAGGGGTAACGTTCCAACCTCATGACTCAAGGTACGCGGGTTCAAACCCGGCAGAGGTCATGGAATTTTTAAGGGCGGAAACATTCAGGGAACAAGTCCTCCGGGAGGGACTTTAAGCCATGGGTCCCGTGTCGTAGTGTTACGGCACGTAAAAGACCCTCATGTCTCAAGGAGGCCTCTGAGCCAAATTATAAGGACATTTCCCGCCCAATAGTCTCTAACGCCTCTGGTAGATGGGGGAAGCATCTAGATACCACTCAGCCAGTAGAGGCCGAACTCGCTGGCTGAGTCGGGACTGATGGCATGCACCAGTATCAGTAGCGTATAGAGACTGGTAGAATATCACAGGGGGACGTACAAGAGACCACTGGTCACGGTGCATGGGGAAACCCACCCCCTCCAATAATAATAATAACAATAATACCGTATTTACGCATGTATAGGCCGTGTGCGTGTATAGACCGCAGCACAATTTTCAGACAGAAATGATAGAAAAAATAATTTTCTTGGAATATTATTTCAGGAGTATTACACCCTGTATTACTAATTATGAATATAATTTTTTTTAAATGAAGTGTGATTTCGAATATTTCGAATATAAGCCGCACCCCAGTTTTCCTCTTGAATTTTTGGCAAAAAATGTGCGGCCTATACATGCGTAAATACGGTAATAATATATTGATGAAGAACAGTCAGTGAATGTGAACAACTGATGGCTATTTAACAATTTTTCAACTACAGAATTTTTCTCATGAGGCTCTCTGGTCAATTCAAAATAACCACTGGTTCTTAAGTACAATTAATTGCCTATCCCTGAGCTATTTTTCCTACTCTGAAATTTTAAAATGTTCAGCCTCCAGGATAACATAATATAATGGAAGTAAGTTCTTACCGAGAACGCCTCTCCCGGATGAGGATGTTGTGTGCAAGCCGCCGGAACCTGAGTTTCAGGTAACCTCGAGGGTAGCGGTATGCCTGATAAAGAAGTAGTTCATCATCCAGTCTGACAACCAATAGAGGGCGGCTGCCATGATGACCCAGTGCCACCATCAGGATCTCCCGTACCTGACTGTCATATGCTATGGGAGGAGAATTCTCAGAGACCCCAACAGGCATAGGGATGGCCCCCAGGCTGTCTACCAACACACGCAGCCCCTGTCCAAAGTTACGCACAAGATAGCTGAGCCTAAAGTCTGGCAGCGTGTATATCTCAAGGTTTCCATTGTCACGCGTAAGCAGGATCCAATATGTGGGCTTTACTTCCTGTAGGTACTTGTGCCACCTGCAGGGTATGAAATGATGCCATATAAAATCCAGCTCAATTTGTAGTTGATACTGGGCACAGTCAAGTAAGAAAAGTACACTGGACCCTAAAAGCAATATAGTATCATGAATAAGGTTTCTGAACTTTTGCTTTTCATATTTAATAAGAGGAGATTTAATTTAGTATTTTAAGTTACCAACTTCATTGACTTTCATTGATTTCATTTATAATTAATTTTATTGTTTAACTTACTATGCAGTAGCAGCTATTTTGAGTTTCTTTCAAGAAATGATTACTTGCATATTTCTGCCTTATGTATTCTTTGAGACTGATGACTAGTAACTTGTGTTATTAATAAAACATCAAATGTTTGGACAGATTGTTCATATCCACTCTTTGCACGAAAAGCATCAAATCAGTAATGGGGAGGTCATGACTGTCCATCTATCCACATGTTTCATCTGTGAAACTAATCGTCAGATTTCAATAAAATGTTGTTTCAAGGAGGGAGAGGGAGATATATACCGTAACATGCCAAGCTAATTTCATTTTGGTTCGTATGAGTATTATACACTTCCCATTTTACATGCTCCATTAACCTTTAACATCCAAAGTGCCCTGATCGGTCCAGTGGTGAGTATGGTTGTTGTGGCCAAAGTACCCTGATTTGGGCAGCTGGGCATTTAAACTCTGCTGGCAGAAGCACACGCATACTCCGCTAGTAGAAGCGTATGCACAGTCCTAAATATTTATTTTTAAATATAGTAAAATTCAATATACATATATTTTTCGTTGTTATCTGCTCAATTGTACATGCCAACATCAGAGTATGAAGATGATGAAGTGGAAAAAGTGTATGACACGACTGAAGAAATTCTTCAGGAAGATGGAAGAGGTGACACAAACAGCATAATATTGGAAGACTGGAATAGCATTGTTGGAGATGAACCATATCAGAATATTGTTGCATCACATGGACTAGGAAGACGGAATCACAGGGGTCAAATGCTTATTGACTTTTGTGAACGAAATGGACTGACTGTCACCAACACTTGGTTCAAGAAGCCAAAGAGAAGATTTTACACATGGAAGGCACCTGGGGATTGGAGCTGCCATCAGTTGGACTACATCCTTGTGAAACATCAATTCAGAAACAGTGTGAAGGATGTGAAGACGCTGCCTGGGGGGCAGATATTGACTCTGACCACAACTTACTGGTTGCCAAGTTCCAAACCAGGTTGAAGAAAATTATAAGATTTCAAAAGCGCAGACCTAGATGGGATTTGGAGAAGTTATATGCTCAAAGACAAAGCGTACAGGAGACCCTAGAAGAGAAACTCGGTGCAACTGAAGGTGAAAGCGGAAATGCTGAAGTGCAGTGGAACAATATAAAAGAATGCATGTTAGATACTATTAGTGAATTGGTAGGTAAAGTTGAGAAGATAGCAAGAAAACCATAGGTTACACAGGAGATGATGAGTAAAATGGAGGAGCGAAGGAAATGGAAGAATGTAAACAATGAAGAAGGCAGGAGGAAATACAGGAGACTGAGGAATGAATTGAAAAGAGCCATGGACAGGGCCAAAAAGGAATATCTTGAGAAGATATGTAATGAGATTATAGAATTTCAAAGGACAGGACATTATGATTTGATGTACATGAAGACAAAATAACTAGGATGGAAAGAGAATCATGGGATTCAAAATATTGGCATCGAAGACTCCCAGGGGAATAGAATAGTAGATCAGAGGCAAGTGCTGAAAATTTGGGAAAATTATATCACAGAACTATATGATCGACCTAATCGGCCAGAATCCTTAGAAGCTGAACCAGAAGAAGAAGTAGATACAGACGAGAAAGGACCATGTATTTTACAAAGTGAGATGGAAAAAGCTATCAAGGAAATGAGGAAGGGAAAGGCTACAGGAGATGATGATGTACCTGGAGATGTGCTCAAGTTACTGGGAGAAGGTGGTTTGAAAACACTGACAAAACTAATGAACACCATATATGAAAGTGGAGAGTGGCCCAAGGACTTTACAGAAGTTACAATGATTGCCTTAAAGAAAAAGACAAAAGCTACAAAATGCAGCGACCATCGCACAATAAGCCTTATTGCACACACAGCAAAAATAAGAGCAAAGATAATTAAAAGAAGAATTGAAAGGAAAGTAGAGGATATACTTGGAGAAGATCAGTTTGGATTTAGAAGAGGAAAAGGAACCAGGGATGCAATTGGGATGATGAGAATTATAGC